AWYMCAATAACGTTGTTCACTTGTAAAGACATAWAGACAACAACAAAATCATTTGCATAAAATTGTTTATAATAACATTCCTGCTAAATACTTTAGTTTTCATCTCCAGATAAATAAAGAATTAAATGTTATTGACATTGTAATGACATTTGTAACTTGATGTTGAATATTCTTGCAAATAACCTAAAATATGATATATGCAAATGACTTTGTCGATCGACCAGCTCTTCGTGATAGATATAGCTGATACTAGCTTGTGATACTGGTAATGTCGGTTATACTAAACGACACTTGCACTAGTGCATAGATGACCACATACGGACAACACTGGCATTGCTATTTAATATTCAGAAACGAGAAATTAGCTGAAACTCAGCAAGATCACTATTCATTCATAAATAGTTGGTGGCATGCGGTGAAAGAGAATTGAGAAAAAGTTTTCAAAAACTGCTTAAATGTTCACTACTGGAAAAATAGAAAACTAGATTACCATATCCTCAAAATGCTGTTCTTTCAGAGAATTGAAAAACTTTTAATAAAAAATTGCACCTAACTGAAGCAAATTATGACATTGTTTGTCATCTCGCTTGGGCGCTTTTGATCTTCATTGTTAGTATGTTGTAGTGATGACAACACACTGTTAGCCACTACTGCGACTACGATATCCTTACTTCATAAAGATCTTATAGGTTAAACAAATTTTCCTTCACACAAGTCGCGCAATAATCGACAGTATTCATGCAAGACTGATCTTACAAGTAGATGTAATTAAATATTGAATAAACGAAGAAATCAAACAATTAAAAATTACAGCCTAGAATGTTAACTCTTACTCTTCAGGACTCAGTTCGTCAGTGATCGGTGCAACATGCGTACTTGGTATATAACCAGTCTCATCCTCACCAAACCTTTTGACATACAACCACCACCCTACCGGTCCCAGTACCACAAACTTTTTGCCTCTCTTTGCCAATAACTGTACTGACTGTTCTGGGGCTGTTTGGGCTGCCTCTTCTATCTCAAGATCTTCGTTTAGTTCAGGATAGTAACTACGGATGACTATGACGACTAGATCATTGCCTCTGTCTGTTGTCAGCTCCTCATCGTGCTGGTGTGCTGCATCACTCATGTTTGAAGTACGAGGACAATTCGTTTAAAACACCTTGAAAAGTGATAAAATTAGTGCATGATCTATCAATATTACTTTAGTAAGAAAAGACGATTCTCACTACGACATTGATACTCAACATCGAAAATRCGAGTACTTCTAAAAGCTATTTTTTAGAATGTAATAACTCAACATAAACTCACCAGGCACACCTGACTTCTAGACACAATTAATTTGGTTCAGTATCAAATTGTTTAGTTTGCKATTGAGYGTTGATAGCGGTTGACAATACATTGTAATATATAAATACCCACCAAATTGTCTTAAAAGTTCAAACTTCACAACAAGAWCACCTCAGAAACACAACTCAACACAGTAGAAGGGTCAAATCGATTAAATCGACCCTAGCGTTTGACCCCAAGGACGGACAAGTCACGCTAAGCCTGAATAAATAACAATCGTGACGGTGCA